ACAGGGACTCTGGGGTGGGGTGCACACACATCTCCCCCCTGTAACCCTGTTGAGCCATTCCTGGGGGTGCAATATCTTGGGGAGTGTCTCAGGGATGGCAGAAGCAATGGAGAGGTGACAATGCCTGTCCCCCGTCCCCAGGTTGCTGAGTACGTGTGGCACCGGCGGGCGCTGCTGGCACTCAACCTCACCCGTGTTGACTTCCTGCTGGGTGAGTCCCTGCACCCACGGGTGCCCTGGCATCAGCTGGGTGCTTTATGGGGACCCCTGCCCTGTCCTGGGCTGCTGGGGCAGCTGCAGTGGCCAGTTATCCTCTAAGGGATGGTGCCATGTCCTGGACATGCTGGTAGCCCCCAAACATGGTTCTATTCCCTTGGGGATGCTGGTACCCCCCCCAAATGATCCTGTTACTTCCCTGGGGATGCTGGTACCCCAAAGGGATGCTGTTACACCCCCAAGGGTGGTGCTCCTGCTGCCACCTCCCAAAGAGGCTGCAATTTCCCTGGAAATGCTGGTGCCCCACCCTGGGGACGCTGGTGTGCCCTCAAGGATGTGCTGCCCACCAAGGACAATGTTACACCCCCAAGGATGCTGCTGCTCCCACCCTGGGATACATCTCCCTCCTAGGGATGCAGTTCTTTTGTCAGCAGTGAAATTCCCATCCCAACTGGAATGTGGAATCCAGCAGGGCAGGAGGAAGGAAGGGCTGGGATTGTCCGGTTTCTATCTAATCTTCCTGGATCCAGCAGTGTGTGAAACACTTGAGTCAGCACAAGGAGCAGGATTAGGCCCCCCCTTTTTCTTCTGGTGGAAAAGGATGTCTCCAGCAGTGTCCCTGTCCCCAGGCCTCTTCGAGCCAGGGGACATGATGTACGAGCTGGACAGGAACAACGATACAGACCCGTCCCTCAGCGAGATGGTGTCCGTGGCCATCAGGATGCTCCAGAAAAATCCCCGAGGGTTCTTCCTCCTGGTTGAAGGTGGGGGTGCAGAAATGGGGCATAAAAGGGGGCAATGGGGGTGCAAAAATGGGGGGATTCTATAAAAGAAGGGTGCAAGAGGAGAATTAAAGGGGTGATAGGGACACAAAGAGAGGAAAAAGGGGGTGATGGGGTGTAAAAGAGGGTGCAAAAAGGTGGGGAATTGGATAAAGGGGAGGTACAAAAAGTGAGGATGAGGAGGTGGATAAGGATGATAAAGGGAGTGATGGAAGAACAAAAATGGGGATTCAAGGTGATGGTGCATAAAGGGAAGATAATGGGGAGATGAGAGTGCAAAAAAAGGGGGTGACAGGGAGGAAGGATAAAGGGTGGTGGGGGATACACAAATGACAGATAAAGGGGATATAGGGGGCTGCAAAAAGAGGGGTAACAGGCAATGAGGGTGCAAAAAAGGAGGGATAAAAGTGGTGAAGGTGGAGTGCTAAAACAGAGGGTAGGGGAATGAGAAAGAGGCATAAAGGGTCTGGGGGGTGCAAAAGGGAGGATGTGGGATGTAAAAAGGGGGGATAAATGGGGTGAGGGGAGGACACAGAAAGGGAATAAAGGGGGTTGCAAGGCTGGGAAGAAGCGGGCAATGCTGAGAGGTGCTGGGTTCTGCAGGCGGCCGCATCGACCACGGGCACCACGAGGGGAAGGCAAAGCAGGCGCTGCACGAGGCGGTGGAGCTGGACAGGGCCATCGGGCTGGCCACACGCCTCACGTCCACCCAGGACACGCTCAGCGTCGTCACCGCCGACCACTCGCACGTCTTCACCTTCGGCGGCTACACCCCCCGCGGCAACCCCATCTTTGGTGAGTCCTGCCCGGCCACGGCACCGGGGACAGCTCGGGGACACACCAGGGATAGATCATGGACAGCCTGGGGACAGCTTGGGGACACCCCAGGGACACCCTGGGGACAGCCTGGAGGTACCCTGGGGACAGCTTGGGGATACCCCAGGGACAACTCAGGGACAATTCAGGGACAGCTGGGGGACAGCCTGGAGACATCCTGGGGACAGCTCGGGAACACCCTGGGGACATCCTGGGGGCAGCCTGAGGACAGCCTGGGGACACTCCAGAGACAGCTGGGGGACACCCTGGGAACAGCTTGGGGACAGCTCAGGGACACCATAGGAGGATCCTGTCCAGCTGACTGTGCCCCACCGCCAGGTCTGGCCCCGATGCAGAGCGACGTGGACCGCAAACCCTTCACCTCCATCCTCTATGGCAACGGCCCTGGCTATAAAATCGTGGCGGGCGAGCGAGAAAACGTCTCTGCCGTGGATTTCGGTGCGTACGTTTTGGGCCAAAACCCCTTGAAACCAGTCCAGTTTGGCCAAAATGAGCTGGGTTCTTAACTGATTCTCACTTCTGCTGTTTGCCCCCAGCACACGCTGACTACCAGGCGCAGTCGGCCGTGCCGCTGCGGCAGGAGACCCACGGTGGCGAGGACGTGGCCGTGTTCGCCCGCGGGCCCATGGCCCACCTGCTGCACGGCGTCCACGAGCAGAACTACATCCCCCATGCCATGGCCTACGCCGCCTGCATCGGCTCCAACCGAGGCCACTGCAACGCCGCCGCCCGCCCCGCCACCCCCCTGCTCCTGCCCTTCCTCGGCCTCCTCCTCCTCCTCCTCTGCTAAAGTGCCTCTTGCAAATCACCGAGGGGGATTTATTTTTAATTCATCCCCCCTTTTTATTTTTCTGTGGACAGCAGCGCCCGGGAAAGAGGAGAGAGAGAACAGAGAGACTCAGCGGAGCAAAAGCAGCCGCCGGTGGTTTGGTGCTGGGAGCTGCCTCTGTAAATACATGGTTCCTTCCCTATAATTAGCAGCGTTCCCTGGCCTATCCCAAACCCACCGCGGGATTTGGGATGGCAGCCGGAGCCTTGGTGGATAAAACCCCCTCTTTGAGCGAAACGCCGTGGGGCTGGGTCCCAAAATGCCTCTGTGGTCCCTTGGCTGAGGACTGACCCTGGTGCCCAACTCGTCACATGCGTGGAGGAGCCAGGGACCACACGAAGATGGGAAAAAAAATTAACTCATCGGGTTAATTTGTCCCTAAACTTGGGTTTTGTTGTCTCCTCAGTGATTTATTTTGTTTTAAAATTCTTCGGGTTAAAGCAATTTGCTGCCCCGGGAGGGATTTGGGAGGGGTTGGGGCTGGGGTTGTGGAAGGGGGGTAAAGGCAGCAAAGCTGGATGTGAGGGGTGGGACGCCCTTGGGCATGCCCTCTTCTTTGGGGTGAGGTAATTAGGGGGATAATTAGTGGGTGGGGTCACAAGGGGAAAGGGCTTGTGCAGCTGGAGGGGTGCTGGGAGCAGGCAAATGTCACTGTGCTTGTGCCAATGTCACCGTGCAAGTGGGTACAGTGCCTTGCACATGCAAATGTCACTGTGCCAGTGCCACTGTGCACTCGCAGACGCTGCCTGAGCTGAGCAAAAAGTGCCCTGCGTGTGCAAATGTCACCAAGATGTCACTGTGCCTAGTGCCCTGCACATGTGCAGATGTCACTGTGCCCGAATTCCCCGTGCATGTACAAAAGGCACCGTGCACGTGTGACTGTCACTGTGAGTGACACACAGTGAAAATGTGCAGTGCAAACACGTGCCTGAGTCCCTGGGCTTGTGCAAATGACCCCTGGCACGGGGCAGAAGTCCCACGGTGCCCCTGAGCTCCTGTGCTTGTGCAGATGGCTGGGAAAACACTGCCCTGCCTCCCCCAAATACCCCCAAACCCCCTAAACCCCTCCCTCTTTTTTCATTCATTCACCAGTTTTATAATTAAAAGTCCAGTTCCTCATTAACCAGGATCCTCTAGAGCGGGTGGAGGCTCTGACCCTGGCAGGGATGGATTGGGGGGGCTCTGAACTCAGCAAGGCAGGATCTGGGGGGCTCTGACCCTGGCAGGGCAGGATTTGGGGGGCTCTGACCCCAGCAGGGCTGGATTTTGGGGGGCTTTGACCGTGGCAGGGCAGGATTTGGGGGGCTCTGACCATGGCAGGGCAGGATTTGGGGGGCTTTGACCGTGGCAGGGCAGGATTTAGTGGGCTCTGACCCCAGCAGGGCTGGATTTCGGGGGGCTCTGACCTCGGCAGGATTGGATTTGGGGGTTTCTAACCTTGGCAGGGTTGATTTGGGGATCTCTAACCTCAGCAGGGCAGGATTTGGGGTGCTCTGACCCTGGCAGGGCAGGATTTGGGGGGTGCTGACCTTGGGAGGGCAGGATTTGGGGGTCTCTAACCCTCACAGGGCAGGATTTGGGGGGAGCTCTAACCCCGGCAGGGCAGGATTTGGGGGGCTCTGACCTCAGCAGAGCTGGATTTCGAGGATGCTGACCCCGGCAGGGCTGGATTTGGGGGTCTCTAACCCTGGCAGGGCAGGATTTGGGGGGAGCTCTGACCCTGGCAGGGCAGGATTTGGGGGGCTCTGACCTCAGCAGGGCTGGATTTCGAGGGTGCTGACCCTTTTGGGGGGCTCTAACCCTGGCAGGGCTGGATTTGGGGTCTCTGACCTCAGCAGGGCAGGATCTGGGGTCTCTGACCTCAGCAGGGCAGGATTTGGGGGGCTCTGACCCCCCCTTTGCCCCCCAGGCAGTGCCAGATCCCGAGCAGGGCTGGCTGCTGGCATTCCCAGAACCTGGGCTATGTTTAACCACTCCCGGGGTGCCGCGTGGTTTTTGGGGGTTCAGGGGGGTGGGAACCACTCTGCCTTGGCCGGGGGGTTGGCAGGACGCCGCTGGCCACGGGGCCGGGGCCAAAAGCCGCTCCTGACGCCGGGCTGACCAGCAGAGCTGAAAGAGGCACCCGGGGAGGGGGGGCTGAGGGCACTGCCCGCTGTATTTTGGGGTACTCACAGCGCCCCAAAAATAGGCACCATCAAAGGAAGGCTTTGCTCAGCCCAGCTGCTGTGAAACCCCAAGATTTGGCTAAATGTCTCCCCAAAATGAGTGTTTTTACAGCCCCCACTGATGGTTTGGGGTTTTGGGGAGCCCCTAGATGTTGGAGACAACCCCCACTGTAGCGATAAATAAACCTTTATTTTATACAGGACTCACGGGAAACACAAACACAGTTTGGGAGGGTGTGAAAAAATATTCCTCCCCCTCCCCCCAGTTCCAGCCTCCAGCACATTCCGGAACTTTTGTCCCTTAAAATAAAAGGGGGGAGAGGGAGCTCCACTTTGGGGTTACCCTGGATTTGAGTCCCCTCTGGTTTTTTGGGGGGAGGGGATGATGCTGGGGTTGGACCCACTCTTCATTTTGGGGTCACGGCAGAGGGGAGGCCCCTTTGTGGTGCATCACCCCCTCACCCAAAGGGTTTTTGGGGTGACAGAGATTGTCTGGAGGGGGGGGCGCATCCCAATTTTTGTTGGGGGTCCCCCCAATCCTGCACCGGGGATGATGGCTTCAGCTCCTGGCACGGGGGTGGCACACAGAGGGGGGTGAAGCAGTGACACCCCCGCAGGTGGGGGGGTGACTATGAGCCCTGTGGGAGGGACATCAGTGGGGGCGCCCCGGTGTGGGCACCCCCACACTGCACGGGTGGAGGGGGCCAAGCAGCCTCACCGGGTTCTGGGGGGGCTGCTCCAGCTGGATTTTGATCTCAGGGCAGGGGGGGTCAGGCGGGCGGCGGCCTGGGGCAAAGGGGGGGACTGTGAGCACCCCGAGGGGTCCCCGGCCCCACGGCGCCCCGAGCTGGGTGTGCTGGGCTACCTGGGGGGGTCCCGGGGGGGTCATCGGGCCAGGGCGTGTCCGTGAAGGCGTCGCGGTGGCTCCCCGAGGGCGAGCGGCTCTCCTGAGGGGGAGGAGGGGGGTCAGGGGGTGCTGCCCACCCCAAAGTGCCCCCCCGGACCCCCCCGGCCCCCGGGCTCCCCGTACCCGGCCCGGCTCGCCGGGCTCCTCCGCGGCGCTGCCGAAGCTGCTGGCGCTGGAGGAGGAGCGGGAGAAATCCGGCGGCTCCGGCTTCTCGGCCCTGCCAGGGACAGTCCCCAAGGCCAGGGACGGTCCCCAAGGCCACAACAGGCTGGCACCGCGCCTCGTGGCCACCACAGTGGCCCGCTGAGATGCTGTGCTGGCCCCGGGACACCCTGTCCCCACACCACCCCGTCCGGGACACTGCATCCTCGTGTCACCCTAGCCCCGGCATGTCCCATCCCCATGGCAGCCTGTCCCCACCCCATCCCATCCCTGTGCCACCCTGTCCCCACCCCATCCCATCCCTGGGAGGTCCCAGCCCCATGCAATCCTGTCCCCATGTCCCTTGTCATCACACCAACCTATCCCCGTGCCGTGTGTCCCTGTGCCACCCACCTTCATGCCAACCTGCATCCAAGCCACCCGAGTGCCACCCCACAGCCCCTGCCACCTTGTCCCTGTGCCATACAGACCCTGAGTGAACCTGTCCTTTTGACACCCTGTCCCTCTGGTGTCTTGTCCCCCCACTTGTCCCTGTGCCAGCCATGCTGGTGCCACCTTGTCCCGGTGCCGCCCCACCCAGCCGTCACTCTGGCCCACTGCATTCCTTCATTGTCCCATCCCTCCGGTCCCTGTGTCACCTTCACTTGTCCCAGTGCCCATCCCTGTGCCACCCCATCCTGGTGTCACCCTGTCCTTGGGCTGCACCATCCCAGTGTCCTCCAGTCCCCATGTCACCTGGTGCTGGAGTCACCCCATCCTGGTGCCACCCTGTCCCGTTGCCACACCATCCCAGAGTCCTCCAGTCCCCAAACATTCCCACCCCAGTGCCCTCCTGTCCCCGTGTTCCCGATCCCGGTGCCAGCTGCGGGACCTGTCGGGGTTCCGGCGGCTCTCGGGGGAGCTGTGTGTGGAGCTGGAGCCGTCGGCGGCTGCGGGGCCGTCCCTGCGGGGAGGCGACGGCAGTGAGGTGACATCGGGAGGGGACATCGGGAGGGGACAGCGGCGGTGCCGGTACCGGCGCTCACCTGCCGGCCGGCGCCTCCTGGATGCTCTCGATGCCGATGGCACTGGAGCGGCGGGAGCCGAGGGGGCCGGGCCGCCGCCGTGACGGGCTCTTCCCGGGCACCAGCAGCGCCTGCGGGGCGCCGTTAACCGGGGAGACACCGGGAACCGGGGGGCCACCGAGTGGGGACAGCGAGGTACCGGTACCCACCTCTTCCACCGAGCCCAGCCCGATGGCGCTGCCGCGGCGTCCCCGGCGGCTCCCGGGCACCAGCAGCGACTGAGGGCGGCAGCGGGTCAGCGACCGGGGACCACAGGGTGCGGGGAACCGGGCACCGGGGGGGAACCGGGCACCGGGGGCGGGACCAGGTACGGGGGGAACCCGGATACCGGGGGGAAACCGGGTACCGAGGGGGGGGACCAGGCACCGGGGGAAGCCGGGTACCGAGACGGAACCGGGTCCTGGGGGGGGAGCCGGGCACCGGGGGGGCAACAAGAGGACCGAGGGGGCGGAGCCAAAGGTGAAATGGGAGGGGCTTTTAATAAGGGGCGGGGTTTAAGTAGCTGGGCGCGACCAGTAATTTGGGCGGGGCTTATGCCGGCGAGGGGGCGTGGCCTATATGGGCGCGGTTTGTTCAGGGACGGGGCGGGGCTTGTGGTCACAGGGTCGTTCTGGTCCGTAAAGGGGCGTGGCCGGGGTGGGGTGTGGCCTCAGCCACGCCCCCGCAGATCGGCTGCGCGCGCAGAGGGCGGGGCCAAGGCCAGGGCGCGGTCACAGCAAAGAGGCGTGGTCAATACAGGGGCGTGGCCAGTGCCGAGGGGGCGTGTCCTGGGCGGGGACCGGGGAGGGGACCTGGCCCCGCAGTGCTGCGTGCGGGGGTGTGGGGATGCGGGACCCCCGCGCCCCACCTTGAAGGACTCGAAGAAGCCCGGGGCGGCGCCGCCGTTGTCGGGGCGCTCATCGTCGGGGCTGAGCCCCAGCATGGCCTGGCTGCGCGCCTGCAGCTCCTCGTGCAGCGTCTCCAGCAGCGCCGCCCGCGTCCGCTCCTGCGCGCCAGCCCCGCACTGCTGCGCCCACGCGAGACCGCCCAGCCCGCACCCACCCCCGAACCCAGCCTGCAACCAACCCCCGCACCCAGCTCCGCATCCAGCCCCGCACCCAGCTCCGCACCCCGCCCCACGGCTGCGCCGTTCCAGACACCCACCCCCGCACCACACACCCTCCACCCACGCAGGACCAGCCCTCGCCCCGCTGCACCCACCGACGCCGCCCACAGCGCCCTGCAGCCACCGCTGCCACCCACGCCAGGCCACGCTGCCACCCATCCCTGCCTGCTGCGCCCACAGCCCAGCGCTGCACCCACACGGGGCCGCCCCCCGCGCTGATGCCCCTCCCGTGAGACACCCCCGAGACACCCCCTACCCGGGCACCACCGCCCTGCGCCGACGGGGACACAGCCCCTGCCCACCCACGGTGTGTGCGGGCCCCACAGCGGGCACCGCACCCAGTGCCCTGTGCCCACAGCCCCGTGCCCGCAGCCCCGTGCCCGCAGCCCCTCTGGGTGCCCCCAGCGCCCTGTGCCCACAGCCCCGTGCCCGCACCTCCAGCTTGGCGAACTTCTCGGCACGGTAGCAGGCGTACTCGGCGTTGATGAGCTTGGTCAGCAGGAACTCCTGGAACTCGGGGCCCTGCGGGGTGCGGGCGGCCCGGGGGGAGCGTGGGTGGGTGGGTGGGCACGTGGGGGTCCCCAGGGGCTCCCCGGTGGCACCCACGGGCTCCTCTCACCTTCCTGAAGACGGCGGGGTCGGGCAGCGGCGGGCCGAAGAAGGGAACGTCGTCACGGGCGGTGACGGAGACCTGTGGCGGGTGGGGGGGGGGGGTGACGGGACACCCCACGGGCCCCCACGGGCACGGGGACACTGAGGCACGGGGGGGTACCTTGTAGAGGGTGCCCTGGGCACCCCCCTGCTCCAGCTGCACCACCACGAAGGCGTGGAGGAAGTTGGAGGCGATCATGTCGGGGACGAACGGGGTGTTCTCATCCTGGAAGACGATGGCCACGATGTCGTTGCCGATGTGACGCTTCCGCTGCAGCTGTGGGGACGGGTGGGGTGCAGAGGGACACGGGGGACATTGGGGATGGGGGGAGACAGCAGCACACGAGGGACAGAGGGTGGTCACACCGGGGTCATCAAAGGAATGAAAGCTCCTGTGCCCCATAGATGCACCCCAGCCCTATGGGTGCTCCACCAGCCCCCTGCATCCCACAGCTCCCCCCTGGCACCCATGGGTGCCTTAACAGCCCTCTGCATCCCAAAGATGTTCCCCACACCCATGAGTGCCCTGCCATCTCCTGGGCCCCACTACCACCCCCATGGGTGACCCAGGAGTCCCCTCCATTCCATGGGACATCCCCAAAGCCCCCACATCCCTTCCACCCCATAGAAGTGCCCAGGGCCACCCCCTGCTCTCAAGCACCCAAGTGTCCCCCCCTCTTTTCACCCCCCCAGCCCCCATGGGTGCTGACCTGCTGGGCGTCCCCCTCGGTGTAGGGCAGTTTGGTGGAGACGTGGAACATGATCTCCTTGTCACGGAAGTGGCAATAGACCGACTCGCTGCCCGTCTGTCCGTGGGTCACATCCAGCCCCCCTCGGAACCTGCGTGCGTGCGTGGGTGGGTGGGTGAGACAGCACCCTGACCCCGAGGGTCCTCCCCCCCCCGGCATCCCCTCACGCACCCCTTGAAGTCCCGCAGCTGCACCCGCTGACCCAGCACGTCGAGGAATTCGGCGAAGGCCGGGCTCTCCTCCGTGGTGCCGAAAAGCTCCTCCTCGGAGGTCTGCAGCGGGGTGGGGATGGGCGCCAGCACCCACCCAGGGACTCCCCCCACCCTGACCCCCGCCCACCCCACCCCGTACCTGCCCCAGTTTTTGGTAGATGACCCCAAATTTGAAGTGGTTGCTGAGCACGTGCTCATCAAAGGCGAGGATGAGGCGGGATGCCTGCGGGGTGGGGAGGGGTCAGAAGGTGGGGAGGGGCACCCAGGGGTGCCCAGGTGCCCCCTCCCTGCAGCCCGTTCACCTTGGGATAGAGCACGGGGTAGAAGCGATCCACGTTGACGTCCTCGCACACCAGCTGTGGGAAGGAGGGAGAGGTGCTGCCTTGGGGGGCCCGGGGCTGGGGGCACCCATGGGTGCTGCCTTGGGGGGCCCGGGGCTGGGGGCACCCATGGGTGCTGCTGGGGGGTGGGGCCGCACCCACCTTGGCCATCTGCACCACGTTGGGGAACTCGGCTAGGCAGGAGATGGGCACCACGTCGTGCAGGGTGCGGGCACGGGTGCTGCGGGGCGAGGAGGGCGTCAGGGCAGCCCCGGGGCAGGCGGCTCCCGGGGGTGCCTCCCGCAGCCCGCTCACCGCAGCAGCAGGTGGAGCTGCTCCTGCTCGTCGTACTTGAGGGAGAACACCAGGTGTCCCAGCGCCGGGTCCAGGGAGTAGTAGTTGAAGTGCTCCTGGGGGAAGGAGCCGAGGGCGCTCAGGCTGGGGGCACTTGTGACATGGGACACCCCTGTCCATGAGCACCCACAGCCATAGGACTGCCATGTCCATGAGCACCCATGGGACACCCAGTCCCATGAGCACCCACATCCATGTGACATCTGTGTCCACCCGTGTCCATGAGCATCCAAATCCGTAGGACACCCATGCCCATGAGCACTCATCAGACACCCAGGCCCATGAGCACCACACCCATGGGACATCTGTGTCCATGAGCACCCATGGGACACTGATATCCGTGGGATCCTCACACCCAAAAGCACCCATCCCATCCCATCCCCATGGAGCACCCGTGTCCATGAGCACCTGTACCCACAGGTCAGGTACCACCTATGGGGCACCTACACTCAGTGAGCCTCACACCCCTTGGGGCATCCAGGACACACAAACTTATGGAGCCCCATGTCCATGCAAACCTGTGGAGAACCCATTCCATGGGCACCCGTGCCAGGGGCTCTCCTGCCCATGGAGACCCAACACCAACCTCCTTCCACCCACCCCATGGAGGACCCATGCCCACAAGCAGCCACATGCCAAAGCCCCTGTGTTCATGAGGTCTCCATGTCCTTCCATTCCCATGGAGAACCCACCCCAAGCACTGTTGCCATGCCCACATCCATGAACCCCCATGTCCATGGCCCATGGAACTCCCACCCACATTCAGGAACACCTGAGTTTGTGGTCTCCAAGCTCCTGCCCATCCACACCCACGGGCCATCCCCCAGCCCTGCAGCCCCCCAGGGCCTCACCTTGCCCAGGAAGTGCTTGCGGTAGATCTTGGCCGTGTGGTTGCCTTCCAGCTTTGCCCGGGTGCCGGGCACCGGCGTGGGGGGCGAGTCGGGGGCCCCGCTCAGCTGGTGGTTGGTGCCCTCGATCCAGTAACCCCCAAACTGCGGCAGGAGGATGAGGGGGAACGGCCCCTCCCGGCCCAGCACCTGCGCCCACAGCCGTGGTGGGTGCTTTGGGCACCCCCACCAGCCCAGCCCAGCCTGGCACTGCCCCTCAGCCCCCTGCCCTACCTCGTGCACGCTGGGGTAGGGGATGTAATCCTCCTCCGTCTGCAAGACACGGAGCGGTGACGGCCACCATGGGCGGTGGGACGGGAGATGCCCATGGTGGCACCCCAGGGTGCTGCTGGCTGCGTGCCCCCCACGCCAACAACACCTACCTTGAGAGGTGGGGGGATGGCATGGCGCTGCTGGGCCATCCTGCTGCCCTGGCGAGAGAGGGGCTCTGGGTGCCTGTCTGCCCGCCTTGGGTGGGCACCCAAGGGTGGGGGGCACCCTCGGGTGCTTACCTGGGGGTTGGGAGGTGCTGCTGGCTGGAGATGGGTCTAGGTGGTGTGAGGGCGTCCAGGGGGTCCCATGGCGCTTCCTGGGGACACGAGAGCTCCCCCAGAGCCCCTCTCCGGGACGCCCGGCCAGCAGCGCAACCCCTGGAGCCAACTGATGATGGCAGCGAGCCAAGTGCCACCCTGCGGGTGCGAGGGCCAGCGGGGCGGGAGCGGCGGGGCGAGGTCACCGCGTGGGGACCGCGGGGACCCCCGGAGCCCCCCAGCCCCACCCCCCCCCCCGAAGGGCGCCCTCTGCCGGCGGGAGGCGGCGGCGCGGGGCAGCACCACGGACAGCGCCGGGACCCCGCGACAGTGGCACCGACCCCGCCAGGTGGCACCGAACCCGCCAGGTGGCACCGACCACGGGAGGCGGCACCGACCCCGCGACAGTGGCACCGACCCCGCCAGGTGGCACCGACCACGGGAGGCGGCACCGACCCCGCGACAGTGGCACCGACCCCGCCAGGTGACACCGAGCCCGGGAGGCGGCACCGACCCCGCGACAGTGGCACCGACCACGGGAGGTGGCACCGACCCCCGCGACAGTGGCACCGACCACAGGAGGTGGTACCGACACCGTGAGGTGGCACTGACCCCGCGGAAGTGGCACCAACCCCGTGAGGTGTCACCCACCCCAGGAGCTGTCACCACCCCGTGAGGTGGCACCGACCCCGTGCCCGTGTCACCCACCCCGTGAGATGTGATCACGCCCGCGCCAGTGTCACTGACCCCGAGCCAGTGCCACCCCCCCTCGTGGAACTGTCACTGGCGCGGTGCAAGCACGGTCATTTTCGTGCCAGTGGCACCGACCCCCTGCCCAGGGTCTCTCCCGGTGCGGGTGCGATCATTCCCGTGCCAGTGTCACCGGCCCCGTGCAAATGTCGCTCTCCCCGTGGCAATGTGACCGTTCTCGTGCAAACGCCACCGGCCCCATGCAAATGGCACTGTCCCCATCAAACACAGCCCCGGTGCAAGTGTGACCCGGCCCTGTGCAAACACAATGACGTGCAAGTACGTCCCTGGTGCAAAAGGGACCCTCGTGCAATTGTCACCGTCGCCGTGCAAACAGGACATTGGTGCAAAGCCAGCCCCAGCGCAGGTGTGACCCGGCCCCGTGCAAACACAACCGCAGCCAAGCACAGCCCCGGTGCAGGTGGGACCCGTCCCCGTGCAAGGTGTGACCCCGGTGTCCCCGTGCCAATGCGACATCGCCACCCGGCCCCGTGCACCCCCCGGGCCGCTGCGTGACCCCGCCGGGCTGGGGGCGAGCCCGGGGGGCTCCCCTATCGCCCCCCCACACCCACGGGGGGCTCTGGCCCGGGAGGGTGGGGGGAGCACGGGGGGGAGGAGATGTTCGAAATGTGGGGGCCAGACTGGGGGGGGAGATTGGGTTTGGGGGGACACGGGAGTCAGAGCGGGGAGATTGGAACAGGGGCAGGAGGCGATAGGGGGCAGGAGAGGGGGCAGGTTTGGGGTACCCGGGAGGGGGGGCAGGTTTGGTGGGGGGCAAGTGTCAGGGTGCAATTATGGAGGGGACATTTGGGGGGGTCAATGGGGGGCTCCTCCCCCCGCCGCCGCCCCCACCCCGGGTCTTTTCCCCCAGGCCCGGAGCGTTCCCCCCCCATCCCCTCCCCCGGTACCGGCAGCGGTGAAGGTCACGGGCGGACGGACCCCCCGGTGCCGCGGCGGGGATGAGGGGACATCCCCCGAGGGGCATCTCCGGGGGGACCGCGCTGCCCGCTCCCCGCAGGGCGGCACTTACCGGGGGCGGCGGGGCCGGGCGGTCCCGGAGCGGGGCCGGTACCGAGCGGAGCCGAGCGGGGCCCCGGCGCTCGCTGCCACCGCGCAGCGTCACGTGCGGCGGGGCGGGGCGGCCCCTCCGGGGGCGGTGGGACCGGGAGCCGGTACCGGGAACCGGGCACCGTAGCGGGGAACGGCCACGGGCACCGGGAACGGACCGCCGGCCACGGGCACCGGGAAAACGGCACCGGGAACGGAGATCCGGAACTGGGGATCCCCGCTCCATCCCTGATGTCACCCCCGGGACTGCCGGGGTGTCCCCTCCTTCCCCAGCGCCCCGCAGAGCGGGGGACCCCCAGACGTGTCCCTGTCCCCCAGACGTGTCCCTGTCCCCCCGGTCCATCTCCATCCCCTGCCCGCGGTTGGTACCCGGGCACGGCTCTGCCCATTGCCCCCATCTCCCCCCAGACTCGGCTCGCGGGGCGCCCCCCGCTCTCTCCCCGGGACCCAGAGCTGCCTCCCCCATCCCCTCTTCCCAGCCCTGGCTCCCGGCAGACCCCGCTCATCCATGACCCCCCTCCCTGGGACTCAGGGACCCCCATCCCCGCTGCCCAAGCTCCTCCTCCCCTACCTCTCCCTCCCTGGTACCCCAGGAACCCCCCCCCATCCAGAATTCCCCATTCCTGGTACCCAGAGTACCCCCCAACCTTAACCCCTCCTCTCTCACACACAGGGTGGCCCCCTGGGACCCCCACCCATAACCCCCCACACCCACGGCCCCCCAGCTCCCACCCCATTCCCATCCCATCTCTAATGCCCATCCCCAGGGCCCCCTATCTCCCAAGGGTCTCTTCTCTCCCCACCTCCAGCACCCATTTGCCTCCCCCAGGGGCTCAGGGGGACACCCTGGCTTGGAGGGCCCCAAGGAAGAGCAGGGACCCCCCCAGGTGGGGACAGAGGTTGATGTGACAGGGCCAGGGCCACCAAATGCTGTGCCCAAGCTCCATAAAACCCTCCCTGTGCAAAGGAGGGGGGGACTCCTGCTCCAGCAGAGTCCCTCTTGCTCCCACCCCACCCTGCAGCGCCCACATTCCTTTGTGGGACAGCTCCAAGTGAGATTTATGGGATAATCACCTCCACCTTGCACTGCAACGAGGCTGCCACAGCTCCAATGACAACTTTAATCCGATAATATTTGCCAGTAACAGACAAACCAGGAACGGGGCCTTGGCTCACACCTTGCACCTGCATCCTCCGCAGGATCCGGCGCTGCCGGAACCACCACAGCCCTGAACACCCCACGGGGCTCCTTCCCACAACAGTGTAAGCTCAAGGAAGAGACTTTTTTATATATAACATTAAAAAAATTAACAGCAACTTGAAAAGATGGAATTTCCAAGGAATATGTACACAAGCGAGTGCTTCAGGTTGGGAAGAAAAGCCTCCTGTGGCTTTGGCATGGAATTTGCCATGTCTATAGCTTGGGAAAGAATCCAGGGGTTCAAACTGCCCCAAAATATCACTTTTTAGGAAATGTAGAGCCCCTCAAATGCTGCAGTTTCACCCCCAAACCCAGCAGGGACAAGGGAGGGAGGCGCTGGGCAAAGCAGCTGGAATTCTTTGCATAAAACCCTGGAAATCAAAACTACTGGGGTTTTGGGCATAGAATTTGTGGCCCACATCCTCTTCTTGCAGCCCAAATTTCTGCAAACGTTGAAAAAATAAAACTGATGTGATCTCTGCATTGTATTTTTCTGCAGAAACAAAGGAAAAGCTTAGAAAGGAAGGGGATCTCTACTAAAGAGATCTCTTGGCAGTGCCCAGTGTGGATCAGTCTGGAAGTGGGATACTATTTCCTGCTAAATAGTAATGGAGAGAAAAGTTTTCTGGGAGATGTTAAAAAAAGGAAAAAAAAAAAGAAAGAAATTAGTGCATTGCTGAAAAATGAGGAGAGAGGAGTAACAGAACCTCTTCCCATGGGAAACTCAGCACCCACCCGCAGCCCCTCACCAGCTCTGACTGCCCTGAGCCAGGAACGCTCCCAGCAGCGCCAGACTGGAGGAAAATGTTCTCCAGAATCATTAAAATATCCCAAATTTCTAAAAAAACCCCACAGTTCCCAGAGCCCAGGTGGTTACTGGATTGTCCAAGGCGTGGAAGTGACAGCAGAAGGATGCGGAGAGGGGGTGGCTCCCAGGCCTGGCAGGGCTTGGGAGGCAGATCCCAGCTTCCATTTTGGGTTAAGAAAATGAAGTTTTGTTGTCTGAGAGCGCTAGACATTCCTCATGAAGTCACAATTCCTGTACTCCCATGCTGGACTGAAAGGGTGAGAGTGGATCAAAGACAGGATTATCCTAAGGAGTTCCTGCAGAGGGATCAGGGTGGGCTGATCTACAGCAGCACCACCCCTCTGCTGGGGCACCCAGGGCTGCCCCTGTGCCACACACACCAACTGCTGCTCGACTTCCCAACCTTCCTGTTCTTTGTTAAATAAACCCGGGAACGTGGTCCTGAAGCAGGATGTCCTTCAGTGCAATCTGCTTTGACATAAGGCATTTGTTTTGTTTTGTTTTTTTTGGGGAGCAAACGTCTCACGATGGATTTTTGCCTTCTGGAAGAGTCAAAAAGTACTGTATCCACCTGGTTTTATTCTTTTAATGCCCTACCACGTGACAAATCCTCGTCCCTTCTGGTGGCTCCTCTTGGAAAACCATCAGTGGCCAAGTAAACCAGTCCCTGGGAAGGAAAGACACCACCAGCAGATGAGGAGGGAAAGGGGATGGGATTCATGTGAGGGGATACAAAGGGGAAAAAACACCTGGACTCACCTTTAAATCCCTCTTCAGGCATACAAACTGGATGGAAAGGGAAGGAAAGCATTAGAAGTGGATCTGAGGATTCCATAGCCACAATCCCCATGTTCCACCTTCCCAAGCCCAGTCCTGGGCCAGCAAGCCAAGGGCAGCCCTTCCCCACCCCTCTCACCTTGCATAACATCGTCCATGGCCGCGTAATCCGCGATGGGCTCGTCAGCCTGGAGAGGAGCAAAGGACAGGGAATGAACCAGCACAGAAACCAGGGAATGAACCAGCACAGAAACCAGGGAATGAACCAGCACAGAAACCAGGGAATGAACCAGCACAGGGGCAGGGAATGAACCAGCACAGAAACCAGGGAATGAACCAGCACAGGGGCAGGGAATGAACCAGCACAGAAACCAGGGAATGAACCAGCACAGAAACCAGGGGATGAACCAGCACAGGGGCAGGGAATGAACCAGCACAGAAACCAGAGAATGAACCAGCACAGGGGCAGGGAATGAACCAGCACAGGGGCAGGGAATGAACCAGCACAGAAACCAGGGAATCAACCAGCACAGGGGCAGGGAATGAACCAGCACAGGGGCAGGGAATGAACCAGCACAGAAACCAGGGAATGAACCAGCACAGAAACCAGGGAATCACAGCCCTCCTCAGGACAGGGAATGGACCAGCACAGAAACCAGGGAATCACAGCCCTCCTCAGGACAGGGAATGAACCAGCAGAGAAACCAGGGAATGAACCAGCAGAGAAACCAGGGAATCACAGCCCTGCTCAGGACAGGGGATGAACCAGCACAGGGATCCAGGGGATGAACCAGCACAGGGATCCAGGGGATCACAGCTCTGCTCAGGACAGGAGCAGGGAATGGCTCTGCTGCCCAAACACTGGGAACTCCATGCAAGGACTCACTCCCTAATTTAGTTGTGTTATGGGCTGGTACCCACAGAGCTCAGCAGAATCAGCTACAAAGCAGTTTTGGAAATAAAAGAAGGGGGGTTTTCTCCTCCAAAGCAAAGATAAAAAGGATTGACTTCCTCAAAAACAAATAAAATTAAGGATACTCCTCCTCCAAAACAAGAGTAATGAGGATTTTCCTCCCCTAACTCAAAAAAATTGAAGCTTTTCCTCCTCCAAAACAAAACAAAAGGATATTCCTCTTCCAAAACAAACAAAAAAAAAATTAAGGATCTTCCTCCTCCAGAACAAAAAACCAAACCAAAAAACCCCTCAAACACCCAAGGATATTCCTCCTCTGAAACAAAATAAGAATTTTTCTTCCCTAAAACAAAAAACAATAGGGATTTTCCTCCCCTAAGACAAAAGAATTAAGGACTCTCCTCCTCCTCCTCCAAGGAGCTGGCTCCTTGTCCCCATTTCCACCCCCATGCTGGTACCTTGAGCAGGATGACAGACTCAGGGATGACTCCCAGGCTGCCCAGCGTGGCTGTGTCATCACTCAGGATCTTCCCATCCAGGGACAGGTTCTGGTCGAAGGGGGCCACCGAGAAGGCGTGCATGATCTGGGGGCACATGGACACCTCACCCTGGAGCTGCTGCACCTCCCACCCCAGCACCCAGCCCTGTCAGAGCTCAGTGCACCCCTCTGGGTGTCCAGAGCTGCCCAAGACCCCATCAGGGGGCTCAGGGACCCTGGCACACAGCCCAGAGCACCTGGGGATTTGATTGTGACCCCTGGAGCAAGTTACCAGCTTTGTATGAGGACATCAAAGTCACAGAGCTTCAAATAGTTTAACAATAAAATGATCACAGGGTGAAAATGTAGATTTTGGGATTTTTGGTATGGGGGTTATGGGGACAAGATGGAGGAACTTGGGCGTGTCCAGCCTTTCTCCTCCTTCTTCTTGTTCTCCATTTTCTGCAGTGATGTTGGCACTTTGGGATTGGTTTAGAGTAGAAGTGCACTGTCTAACATAGGTGATGGGTATTGGGAATTAAGTGTCAATATGTTATATGTAGTTTGTAGTATAAAAGGACAACACAAAGAGTGCCTGTGGCTGCCCTGCTGAGCAGATCTCAGCTGGGCAGAAAGAAAATTTTATAGATAAGAATTAATAAACAACTTCAAGACCAAAAAGTGAAGAGTCCAGACTCGTTCTGCAGTTGCACAGACTGAAACAGAGACATCCTGCACATCTCAGGGCAGCAATTATCAACCAAAACCCGAGACATCCCCAGCTCCTGGGGCAGCCAGACCCTTCCCCTGCGCCCCACACTCCTCACTGTGTGTTTTCTGCCTCAC